TCCCCAGAGCGTACTTCAGCAGCAGATGTGGAAAAGAATACTCACGTTTGAGCTGAGTTTGTCGTGCAAATATACAATAATAAACCTTATTCTTGTACATGGTCATGTGAGTAAACAGGGCAGGAAAGGCTAAGATATGCCATTGCGCAGTTTGCCAAAGTAAACTATAGCTTTAAAGGTCCTGTAGTGTGGAAAACTGACCCTTGTAAGCTTTGTGTAACCATTTATTATTAGTCTGGCTACATCTCTTAAGCTCAAAATGCTCTGTTTCACCTTGTGATGGCGCTGTCATTTTCAAGTTAACAGCTTCCTTTTACATTTCATTCAGTTGAGATTGGTAATTCCAGGGCTCAAATAACCCAAATGATTCTAGTGAAGGTGTATGCAGGGTTTGTGTGTTAAACAACAAAACACAACTCCCGGTGTATTTTTGATGAGGACACAATGATGTAAAATAGATCAGAAAATAGCATAATCTGGACCCTTTCAGTCTATAGAGGTGGGTAGAATACACAAAAACTGTTCAAGTAAGTGTACCGTTGCTTCAAATTAATATTACTCAAAGTATAAACTAGTGGACCAAGAAAAGTAACAGTAAAAAGAATTTAGAGAAGCTACAACTCAAGTAAGATTAACTGTAAGAATAACTCTCTGGATATAGTCTGATTTAACTGATTTTTTTAAAAAAAGACTGCACAAATTAGAAAGAAAATCATATTTTAGGTAACTGGGCGAAATAAAAATATCATCATAAATAATCATATCACATAGTGTCACATAGTGTCAATATATACAGCTTGTGTGACTTTTTAACTCACAGTGGGAAAACCTAAAAGTGTAGAGTAAAAATATAGTCAAACATAGATAACTCTGTACTACCTACCTCTGCACATCTATATACTGAAACATTTGTAAAGCCAACTGATAACAAAACGTGCACAACTTTTCTGTTGGAGGGTTCATCACCTGCTTGTCTCAACAGAGATGTTTTTGCTTTGCCTGGTGTTCTAGCCAGGCTGGCGCCACCTAGTGCCTCTGCTCAATTTCATTTCTCTCCAGCGGCTAGGTCAGGAATCAGAATACACAAGACGGTTCGCAAAAACCCTGGAAGTGCAAGTCCAGGTACCAGCCAATCAGCGAAGAGCCATACATTCTGTGTTGGCAACGATTCCTGAGATCGAGGATTTAAAGTCGGAACAAAGAGAATGTTTGGTGAATTTTATCAAGGTGAAAGACATTATTGCCCTTCTTCCTACGGGATTTGGGAAAAGCTTAATATACCAGTTAGCCCCGTTAGTGGCACAATACATACGTCACGACCAAATAGCAGCGAGTGGTTAAATAAAAAAGTACCCGCCTACCGTTGAGTGAACGAATCCTAATGCTGCGTGGTCAGAAAAGTGAAACCAGCTGATGAATCAGGCTAGGAATGTTCCATGGTATGACATTAAACATATCCATCTAGCGCTTATTCATTATAGGTTTCATTATAGCGTTTATTCATTATAGGTGTTTCCATTCCTTCTGTGAATAGGGGCAACTCTCCACAGATCTGAAATGTAATGTTGTGTAGTGCTGCAACCTGCTTGTCTCCCTTGTGATATATATGTTTAATTTGTACTGTGGAACACTCTAGACAAAGCAATAACATTTCCATGGAGACAAGCAGGTGGCGGACCCTCTACTAGACATGTTACACAATGCACCTTTAAGTCAATCTTCACTTTGCGAACGAAACAAGATAATATCACCTCATGTTCTCAACGTCTTATTTTCAGTGTTATATCAGTATTTTTACAGTCACCTTCCTTAACGCACAAATTCTGCTTTGGGAAATAGTTTTACCGCCTCTATTAGTTTGACGATTTATTTTTACGACTCTGGACCAGCATAAACATGACCGACCGTGGTTGCCATTCACATAATTCTCAAACCATTTTTAAAATAAAATCTGACTTTTGCGGTTTGACCCAAAATCTAGTGTGATACATTTCTTGGTTCGAAGTCACAGTTTGAGAAATACTGACCATGTGGTTTTCAGACAGTATTTTCTGACCACATTGGTCGAGAAAGTATTTTATAGATTAATGCCCAACAACTTAGCCAGCACAGGTCTCGAACAATATAATGAATAGCTTTGAATAATTATTGTCTCATTTATGTTTAAAGATGCACTGCGTAACCTTTTGCTGTTTGTCTCCATAGAGATGCTATTGCTTTGCCTATAATGTTCCACAGTATTGCATAAAACTTGTATAGCTCCATGGTGATAAGCAGGTCAAGGTCACGATACAAGTCAGATCTGTGGAGAGGTGACTCTGCTCATAGTTAGAATGCATGTTTTCCAATAAAAACACCTGCCATGAAATAAATGCTAGATACTTTTAATGCCATACTGTGGAATATTCCTGGCTAATGCTATATCATCTCCATAGAAACAAAGAAGTGATGCCACCAAGCCAATTTACCGGTCAGATCTATGGAGAGATGACCCTGCATGCTCACAGTAAAAATGTTTTTAAGGTATTTTTCAGCCAGGAAAACGGCTGTAAAGTCTTACTGTGGAATATTCCTTTCAAAGCAATATCATCTCCATGGAGACAAGCAGCATTGCACCTTTAAAGATCCAAATGAAGACAATTTCACCAAATCAAATGTAATAATATCGGACAGCATTTCAAATTTAGTTTATATATGTAGGTGTGTGCTTACAATGGATTTATTTTTTATTTGATGTGCTGTGCAAAACTTCTGGCAAATGCTATAAAATATCCTAAATTTGGGGGTCCTAGGCGAACTTGAGCTTGGGGCCCTCATTATAATGCTCTTTTTAAAAATATATTTATTGTCTGTTTTCCCCCATTCTTCTTGAGACATGCACATCTCTTGTTGAATTAGGGTAGATTGGAAACTTATTATTTAGGCAGCCTACTAGAAAACCAAGGGGGGAATGCTTTGACAGTTAAAATAGATTTGACAATCAGATACTATTGGTTGGGGGCCCCTCCAGGTTTGGGGGCCCGAGGCAGCCGCCTACTGTTGCCTAATAGTGGCACCGCCTCTGCATCTCCTTTAAGACAAGCATTTGAGTATTGCCACAAGAAAAGGTACACAGCGCACTTTTAAAAGACCTTTTGCTACTAAAAATACACACAAATAAAGACAATTCAACCAAATCAATGATCAAATCTGTAATACATGATGGCATTTGAACTTGAGCTTGTAAACAAAGTCTTTCTTATTAGATACTGTTCATCTGGTCTGTTTACAGTATGTTTTGTGTTGGTATTATTCATGTAATAAAGGTGCACTGTGTAACTTTTATGGTGGAGGATCCGTCATATGCTGAAGTTTTTCTTGCATTGCTTTGAGTGTTCTACAGTTTGGCATTACACTTATTACACAGGGCCAAGCTACAGGATCAGATCTGTGAAGAGGCAAGCCCACTCACAGTAAGAATGTATGTTTTTAAGTCAATAAAAACACGTGTAATTGAGTAAAGGCAAGATCGACAAAGCAGTAAGATCTCCATGGAGACAAGCATGTGCCGGACCCTCCACCATAAAAGTTCCACAGTGCACCTTTCAGTAAAGTTGAGAGTAAAGTTGGTCAGTGTGAGCTCAAATGTGTGTTAACAGGATCCAGACTGGGTCACGTTTTCTTTGGAGCTGCACGTGTGTGAATAAAAGTCAGTCCAGCTGTTTGAGCGCTGAGCTACAGGGTGACGTGAGACTGAGAGAGAGAGGGAGGAGAAGAGAGGGGGAAGAGGAGGGAGGAAGAAGGAAGAAAGAGGGGCAGGAGAAATTGGGATGAGAAAGAGAGAAGGAGGAGAAGAAAGAGAGAGAAAGAGAGGGGAGGGTGGGTGAGAGAGATAGAGGAGGTGACGAGACAGACTTAGAACAAAGAAAGGGGAAGACATGAAAAGGGTGAGATGAGAGAGGAGAAAGACTGAGAAGAAAGGAGAGGGAGAGAAAAGGGGAGAGAGGGGGAGAAAACCAGGAAAAAGAATTAAGGAGAAATAGAGTGAGGAGGGTGGGTAGATGGGTGAGACAGAGTTGGAGAGGGAGAACAAAGAAAGAGGGAAGACATGTCGGGGGTGAGATGGGAGAGAGGGAGAAAGAGAGAAAAGAATTACAGTGGGGAAGAGAGAGGAGAAAAAGGGGGAGGAGAGCAGAGAGAGGGGGTGAGAAAGAGAGGAGGAAGAGAGAGGGAGAGAGAGACGAGGTCGGGTGGGTGAGAGAGTTAGAGGAGGTGATGAGACAGATGTGGAACAAAGAAAGGGGGAAGACATAAAGAGGGTGAGATTAGAGAAAGGGAGAAAGAGAGAAGAGTGTTACAGAGGGGAAAGAAGAGGGTGAGAGAAAGAGAAGGAAAAGAGGGAGAGGAAACAGGAGGGAGAGACAGAAAGAGAGAGGAGGGTGAGTGAGAGAGTTAGAGGGGGAGTGTGACAGCTGAAGAGGAGAAATGAACAGAAAGATGGAAGACATACAGCGGGTGAGAGAGAGGGGGAGAAGAGGAGAGAGGTGTGAGAAAGACAGGAGGAAGAGAGTGGGAGAGAGAGGAGGCTGGGTGGCTGAGTGAAACAGTTGGGGGGGGCAGAGTTGGAGAGGGAGAAAACAAAGAAAGAGGGAAGACATGAAGAGGGTGAGATAAGAGAGAGGGAGAAAGAGAGAAGAGAATTACAGAAGGGAAATGAGAGCAAGAAAGATGAGGAAGAGAGGCAGAACAGACAAAGAGTAGAGAGGATGAGATGAGATGAGGGAGAAAAAGAGAGAGAGGAAGGAGTTGGCGAGAGAAATGATAGTTTGGGAATTGGGGAGGAGAGAGAAAAAGAAAGATTTGTATTATTTTTAAACAGACCTTTATTATGTCTGTGAACCGGAGTGGGGGCTGAGAGAAGAAAAAGTGAGAAACAGAGTAGAGGGAGAGAGAGAAGGGGGAGGAAAGCTGTGAATAGAGTGGAAAAAGAGAGAAAGAAAGACAGATTTCTGAGCTCTGACCTCTCTCGCACTGAGCGCCGGTGAAGCCGTAGGTGCAGACGCAGCGATTTGGAGCCACACACCGCCCTCCGTTCAGACAGCCGTTCTCACACACAGCTGAAAACACAAGAAGAAGAATCAAGTTATCAAGACTTACGAAACTTGAATTGAAATTATCATACTTTATGTAATCAAAGGTCCTATATTAATCAAAATTAACTCTTGTTTAGCCATGTTATGATGCAGTTACTACCTCAAAAACATACCTGGAATTGTGTTTTGTTTCATTTACACAGAAAATTCCATCACTCAAATAATCCAAATGATTCTAGTGAAAGTGTATGGAGTTTAAAAACACAGCAGAGCACTTCTGGCAGAGGTGGGGAGTCGTTGTTTTGCAAGTCTCAAGTAAGTCTCAAGTCTTTGACCTCAAGTCCAAGTCAAGTCCCAAGTCGAATAAAGGCAAGTCCAAGTCGAGTCTTGCATCACTGGCCCATAAGTCCAAGCCAAGTCCAAGTCGTCTGCTTTGAGCTTCAAGTCATTTCAAGTCTGTAAACCAAAGTACCAAATATAGCTTAGATTTTTCCAATTTATATAAATTTTAAGATAAACTGTATTTAAAAAATCATAGTATATTTAGATATGAGTATTTATAGAGTATGTTAGAGTAGTAGAAATGTTAATTTTTCCTTTTTAAATGTCTTGACAAGATCTTAGTGTGAATCATTACGGTCTGAATAGAAAGAATTAAGATTTAAAAGTGCTTCTCACATCTTCCCAAGTCACTGACCTTCAAGTTCAAGTTGAGTGTCAAGTCTTAGTCCGTTTTATCAAGTCAAGTTCTAAAAATAGTAACTCAAGTCTGACTCGAGTCCAAATCATAACTTGCAAGTCCCCAACTTTGACTTCTTGTATCAGTGTTTTGTTGTTTGAGAGAAGAACTCAGCCTAAATATGTAGGTTTTGTGTGTTAAACATGTGTGAATGAAACAAAACACAACTCCAGAACATAACACAGATTAAATAGCATAATATAAGACCTTTAAACAAGTGTCTCTGTAGTTCTCTAACAATCATTGCTTCGAAAGTATCCTAAAAATGCATCCTCTGTTTTAATCTAATAGTTCTGAATTCCCACAAACAAAGGTCATTGACATTACTATCTAAACTTTGAGGACACAGTGACAGCACAGAAGCCCAAACCATAATATAGCGGTGGTTAATTTGACTTCAGGGACCAAAATTGTGGAGCGGTTTTGGCGTCGTTCCTTGGAGTTGTACTTACGCTGGCCGCAGTGGTTTCCTATGTAGCCCTTCTGACACAAGCAGTGGTCCTCCGCACACGTCCCTCCGTTCATGCAGCGGATGTTACAGTTCTGGACTGCAGGTCAGAGAAGAGAAGAAGAAGAAATCAGATCACAAGAAAAACAAAACTGCTACAAATGTGTTTTAAAAGGGAAAGTTAGATTTAATGTCCTATGAATATGTACTGTATAAAGAGGGAAAGAGACAGAAACAGAGAATGGGAGATTGAAGAGAGAGGAAGAGAGAAAAAGAGAGAGAAATTAAGAAAAAGAGAAAGACGGTAGATGTTACAGTTCTGGGAAGAGAAGAAAAACAGAAATCAGGTGACAAGCAAAACAAACTCATTCCAAATAGTGTATTATAAGTAAAAGTTTGATATACTGTCCTATAAACTGTAGAGAGAGGGGAAGAGAGAAACAGAGAGGGAGATTGAGAGAGAAAGAGAGAAATTAAGAAAAAGAAAGAGAGATGAGATGACAAGCAAAACAAAACGGGTCCAAATAGTGTGTATTATCAGTGAATGTAGATGTAATTTCTTATGTTTGAATGTATGATGTATAGAGAGGGGTTGGGAGAGAAAAAGAGATAGCTAGAGAGATCGAGAGATAGATAAAGATGAAGAGAGAAAGAGAGAGAGAGGAGGATGATGAAACATCAGTTGACAACCAATACAAACAATAGTGTGTATTATATCAAAGTTAGATGTAATGTCATATAAATGTGAACTGTATAAAGAGGGAAAGAGAGAAACAGAGAAAAAGAGAAAGAAATTAAGAAAAGACAGACATCAGATGACAAACAAAACACCCCCCTCCAAATAGTGTGTATCATAAGAGATTGTTAGATATAATTTTCAATGAATATACACTGTGTAAAGAGAGAAAAAAAGACAGAGAGATATAAAGAGAGAGGGAGGGTTGCAGGAGAGGGGAGAGAGAGGATATGAACTTGTGTATTTTGGTTTTTGACATATTATATGTGAAAATTTGCCATGTTTAAGAAGGGGGAGAGAGTGAGAGAAGGTTGAGAAAAAGGAGAGAGAATAGGAGAGGAGGGAAGAGAGAGAGTGAAAGGGAGAGAGAGAGAGAAAGAGAGGAAAAGATATTAGCTAAAGACCTAAACAAAACTTTCCGTATTGAGCCAAAGTCATATATAATTTCCTAAACAAACATTAAATGTCGGTCAGATATATTTTCCTATACGTTTGAGCATGTACTGTACAGAGAGAGAAAAAAGAGGAGTGAGAGAGGAGGGTGCATGAGAGGGGGGGAGAGGATATGAAACTGTGTATTTAGATTTTTGACATATTATATGTGACAAAGAGAGAGAGAAAGCAACCTAAACAAAGTCTGTCCATATTGAGCCAAGGTCATACATAATTTCCTATATGTTTGTACTGTACAGAGAAAGAGAGAAAAGCGGGTGAGAGAGAGCAACCGAAACAATGTCCATGCTAGGGCTGAACGATTTTAAGAAAAAATTGAATTGCGAATTTTCTGGCAGATATTGTGATTTCAATTTCATCATCAATTTCCATCCACTGGACTGTTTGCGCACATTTGTTTAAGTTTTATATAAACGAAACTTAAAACTACATGGCTAATTTGCATAAACTATGAGTGCTGAAAAAAACAGCTCGCTCCTTGTGCGCTGATACAGTCAGCTTCTGTCAGACTAAAGGACACGACCCAGTGGAATATGAGTGTTCTTTCTGTGACCAAGGATGTGCTGATGATGGTGAGTCTGTTATGTGCTTCTGTTGTGTTGTAGATGGTTCATGTTAAACTTTACACAAACGCCAGGTTTAAATCCTAGCCTCCTAGCGTTGTGGTGGTGAATTACTTCGCAGCGCATAGACCTCGATGCAGACTCATAAATCAGAAAACGACGGTGGCAAGGCAATGGCGGCAGTGTGCGCTGAGTCAATGTAGAACTAAATTTCACCTTTAAAACTGGGCTTTAGGAGCACTACAAAAAAATGCAGCTTTGAGGCTCCCAAAATCGTATTGTCCAATATCACGATTTTTGGTGCAAAACAATAGCTCGTTCAGCCCCTGTCCATCCTTACATTAAAACATCAAAGTCAGATATAGGGAAATGGAGGATAGATCAAAACAGATAGAGAGAGAGACAGATAGAGAAAGAGGAGAGAAAAGTGCAACCTAAACAAAGTCCATCCTTATAGAGTCAAAGTCATATATAATTCGCTATATGCTTGAGTATGTCCTATATAGACGGAGAAAGAAACAGAGAGGAAGCGAAAGAAAGAGAGAGAGGAGAGAGAGAAAGAGAGCAAACAAAAGAAAGTCCATCTATATTGAGCCAAAGTCATATATGATTCCCTATATACTTGATTATGTCCTGTATAGAGAGAAAAAGAGAGAGGGAGAGAAAGGGCAAGACACAGAATGAAAGGGGGAAAGAGGAGAGAAGAGTGCAACCTAAACAAAGTCCATCCATATTGAGCCAAAGTCATATATAATTACCTACATATTTATGCCGAACAAACAGATGAGCGCATAGGGGAGATGTTGAGAGTGGAATGGGGCCAAAAGACACACACGCCCAAAGGTCCCACCCACAACCCACGGGACTGACCTCCAAAACGAGATTGCAACATGGATCAACTGCATAATTCAGGGCAGCTTCCAGAGATGTTTTGGGTTTTTTAAGACATTTTCTGGCTCAGAGTGGGATGATTTCTCACAGGGAATGCAAGAAAAGTGTTGGAAAAATAAACAAAAGGTGTGTGCAGAGCTGGGGATTGTGTATTAAGAGGATAGTATGTCAGATCTCTCCATAGGGGGTTCGCTCAAAGCTGTCAAGATTATCTGGTTTATCGAATTAATATAGTTGCAGGAATTAAAAGATAATGTGTACATTTTTGAAGGAATTACAAATCAATCTATGCTGCAAAAAGTTAGCCAAAATGCAAAATGTATTTTTTTTCTTTTGGTTGTTTAAGATGGATTAATCTATGGTGAAGAAAGTTAAGGATTTCCCTGGCACTAAATTACAGGTCATGATTTTGTGTTAAAGGTCCAGTGTTACACAAAATGGACTCTTGTGAGCTTTAAGCCTGGTTAGAATAGTGTTACCTCTAAACACATACATGAGTGAGTAACCTTTTATTCCTTTAGTCTGTCAACATCTCCAAAGCTCAAGATGTCGTGTACAGTCGTCCCTCACTATAACGTGGTTCACCTTTCGCGGCCTCGCTGTTTCGCAGATTTTTTTAGTGCAATTTTGAATGCTTTTTTTTATTTTTATTTTTATTACAGAGTATGAACGTGCATTGTGTTCTTCCCTCCGTGTCCTGATTGGCTAAGGGACTGTAAACCAATCAATCTCCTCCATGCCGTGTCTCCTCTACAGTACAGAATACGTTCAGTTTGTTAAAGTTACATAAATGTTCGATCTCTAGCAGTGTGACTCTGAAGTGCTGTATGTTTGCAAATTTTCTCCCTGATAAAACCCACAATGTCGACAAAATGTTTTGCGCCAACAAAAGCTCCTGCGGTCGCACCCAAAAGGCAGAGGACGATGTTAACCATCGCACAAAAAGTTGGACTTCTGGACACGGTGAAGGCAGGAAGAAGTTACGCGGCTGTAGGGCGCCATTACGGAATAAATTAATCTTCGGTTCATTACATAAAGGAGGAAAATAACATAAGGACGACAGCAGCAATAAGTTTAAGTTTGTGTGTTAAACATGTGTGAATGAAACAAAACACAACTCCAGGTCTGTTTGTGGTGAGGAAACATTATAACATAGACCAGAAAATAGCATAATTTGGACCCTTTAAGGACACAATTATGAGAAATTTTCACTGTTCATAGGATATATTTTGATTTGAATTGTTATTGCTATGAAAACTGTGCAAATTTTTCATTACTCTGAAACACACGAATAAGCCAATTAAGTAGGAATCACTGGAACTCGAGCTTTCTGGCACCAGAGTTGCATATTTTCAATAACTATGTAATTTTCCTAATCTTCTGAGAGAATTTACAGCTTTCTTTGCCTAGAAAGTTTTAATTTGAGGGAATTCCGTTATCTTCAAATAAGCAGTGGCCTTGTATGTACATAGACTTGTAGCATGATTATACATTGGGGTGAATCAGAACATGAAGTTTTATTCCCCACATCTGTTCAGTGTTAACAAGCGTCATGTTGATTGTGGTGGTTTAACGCTGCTTGGTAAATGTTTTCCTTCAGATTACATTTCCTTTAGTTTAGAAATGTTCTGACATGGGAGTGTGCACCACCGGCTCTTCCAGCACTTTCAACACAGGCTATAGCTCCTCTGACTTGAGTTATGATATTTAAGTATTTATCTTTTGGCCGTGTAACAAGTCAACACCCCGGTGAAGTATGCAGGATATAAGATACTGAGATGTGATGGGGCTGAGGGGGAGGAGCTTCTCACCGGATTTGGATCCACAGGACGGGGAGATCTGTCCGTTGGGGCAGGTGCACATGTTGGGTCTGGAGCAGAAGCCATCGCCGCAGGAGCTACGACAGATAGCTGCAAAAAATAACAAAATAAAGCTTTATTATTGGATATAGATTGATTAAACTTAAAAATACAATATGTAACATTTCTTGTGGGTATGCTAACTAATTGTTTTCTCTGTGAAAGAGTTACTGCTTTGCCTGGAATGGTCCACAGTATAGCATTACACTTTTGTAACCCCATGGAGACAACTTCGTGATGTCTCCAGGCAAAGTTACAGGTCAGCTCTGTTGAGAGGCAAGCCACCTCACAGTAAGAATGCATGTTTTTCAATGTATTTTTAGCAATAAAGGCACCTAACTAAGCACAGTAGATAAGTTTAATGCCATACTTTGGACATTTTCATAAAGACAGGCAATTGGTGGACCTCACAAGAAAACTTACAGTGTAGCTGAATAATTGTATTTCTACTAAACTATATAAAACAAGTTGCAATCCTGTCAATCATAATCATAATAAGTTTTATTGGTATTATGATAGAATAAAATTCATAAACTAAAAACTTGCTTTGGCATTAAAGTTTCTATTTTGAGGCAGCTTACAATTTACAACTAATTACAAAACTTCTGAATAAGTCTTGGCAATGTGGTAAAATCTATAATTGTTTTTTGTTTTGTTTTTTTGTGGGGAAAAAGTGCCTAGAGCTACATTAAACAGAAATACACTATAAAATGCTATACCAGGGCCAGATTATTAACTACTTCTAAACTGGCTTTAATTTGATGAGAAAATTTGTATTATTGCTGATTTTCTTGCTCTCAGACACATCTTTGAAAGTCTTTATAATTTGACATGTTCCCCAGGCCCCAGACATCGCCTACACTGAAGTCGACTACAAGTAATAAAATAACTATGCACAAAACACATGCAAAACCTCTCCATAAACTGTGTAGTATGACTGTGGACATGCTACACTGAGTCTCCTGTTTCACTGCTGCTCTGTTGTTTCTACATTACATCTGTCACGCTCACGTCAAACGGCCTGCTCCACTTTAACATTCTTATGGCAGAATCCAAATGGTCCACAAAACATTTACTGTTTTTGTGAGAACAACTCACACTGTAAAACAAGAATTTATGCTTGAGTTGAAAGTGAATTGAAGCTTGTGAAACATTAATACCTACATCTAATTAGCCTTTATAAAGCATGAATAAGACAGATTTCAATATGAGCAAATTATGAGACCTGTTGTGATGGTGTCTGCTGTATATCTATAATCTATGTGGATCATTATGTTACAATTTGGACATTTTTAATTGCAATATTCACCTAAAGTGACTTAAAAAAAAGAAACAAGTCTGCTGACTTCCGAGTCACAAAACTGTGGTGTCCAATGGGAGCTGTCGTCGCCGTAAACGTTATCACAACAATGACATGAAGTTGTTGCCGTCTCCAATGGATAGCTGCACACCATGCTAGTGAATTGTAGATTTTTTCTTTTTAATTTGTTCCAAAATGACTATGCAATGCTGCCTAATCCTACGTGTATCCCCACTTAAGAAAAGAAAAGTACAGAACAGTGGGCGTATGCTGGTATCGGTGATAAAGCAGGTGTTTGGCAATATTGAATCTTGAAAATAAGCAATTATAGATTGCTCAAACATGCACAAATCACTCAAAATAGAACATGGGTGAGTACATGTTGAGGGGAAACAACTATACTATTGTTAAAAGCTCTGAAAACTATGTCCTCTTTAATTAATACCCTAATCTCTTAATTTAGTTACTAAGCCTAAATCATTCTTAAAGGTGCGTTGTGTAACTTTTCTGGTGGAGAGCCTGTCAAATGTTTTATCCATGGAGATGTTATTGCTTTGTCTGAATGTTTCACAGTATGATATTAAACCTTTCTATCTTCATGGAGACCAAACCAGACCAGATTACAGGTCAGATCTATGGAGAGGCATCCCACCTCACAGTCACAATGCCTCTTTTTCTAGACATAGTTGAGCAGTAAAACCACCTGTACTTTAATAAATCTAAAGTAGTTAATGTCATACTGTGGAACATTCCAGGCAGAGCAATGACATATCCATAGAAACAAGCTCAAACATAGTGCACCACCTTGATATTAAATTCAGTTTTTGTTCATGTTTTATTAAGGCAAATTTAAGTGTAGTTGTTAAGTGTAACCAAAACTGTTCCGTCTGAGTTTTGACTGAGTTATAATTATGTAGCCTTTCTGTTTGTTTATTTTGTACTTGATTTGATTTTTTTTTACTCATACATTTAAACCTCCTTTTGTCATTACTCATTCACTCGGTGGTGGTAAGCTACAGGAGCCACAGCTGCCCTGGGGTAGAGTGATGGAAGTGAGGCTGCCAATCGGCCCCTTTGACCTCCACCAATCACTCACTCACCACATTCAGAAATAAGCTGGTGAAATGTGTTGCCCAAAAACACAGCATGTCTCTGCCATTTGTCAGTCTGTACTTTACAAATCCAAAATGTCAGCTTGTAATTTCAAATGGTGCAATTCTGACTTGATCTAAAATTCATCTCGAGCTTTCAACAATAATAACTCTTATAATCCATATATGGTCGTGTCTAGTGCAATAATAACGCTAAGGTTGTCAAAGTCCACTTGGCCAAAGCAAGCACGGACACTTTCTTCTATTTTTGCTGTTAAGGAGTGCCAGTGTTTTGAATATGTTTTGAGTTGAATTTTCCCACAGACAGTTCAAATTAGGTTTAGAGCCAGTACTGACCCAAGACTTTGTAGCTTGACAAGGCAGTCAGACATTAACCACAAAAATCATTGAAATAGCATTGTAATTTCTAACAGAAACAACTGATTTTAACCACATTTTTGGCTTAACGTGCAGCCAAGTCTCAGCATTTTTGGGTAATTTTAGAGAGATTTTCATTTCGTTGAATTTGATCACATTATTCAACTGTGTTCCAATGGTTTTCAGAAAAGCTATGATGAGAGAACAGTCTATGAAAAATCAAACTAGGCGCACCTCGAAAGCATGGACATGTATGGTAGCAACTTGAGTTTAGACATGTTTAAAAATAGTATATAAAAGCTGATTGGGACTATATATCAGAACATACCCAATCCTCCCATGTGAATCTGACCTCTCTGACTTAAAAGGTTCTATATTTCACAAAATTGACTCTTGTGGGCTTTAAGCTATTTTATAATGCTGTTACTTCCTCAAAAACATAAGTTAAGTTGTGTTTTGTTTCATTCACACATGTTTGAGCAATCTTCTATTAGTCTGTCCATATCTCCAAAACTCAGAATGCTCTGTTCTGCTCTGTTCTGCTCTGTTCTTGTGATGTTATGAAGCGTTTTCAAGCTGACTTTTAACTTAAGTTCAGAAGAGTTTGGCAATTTCAGGCCTGAAACGATCCAAATGATTCTAGTGAAGGTGCTGTGTTTCCACATGTCATCACAAGGTGGAACAGCGTGTTTTCCGTTTAAGAGAAGAACTCAGCCCAAACATGCAGGGTTTGTGTTAAACATGTGTGAAAGAAACAAAACATAACTCCAGGTATGTTTTTGATGAGGAAAAAACATTAGAATAGACCAGAAAATAGTGTAATCTGTGCCCTTAAACTCCAAAACAAGAGCAGTCCTTTTAGTTTAATGACCGTTTCCATTGCCCAGAGCCACAGACCGAATACTGGAGTGAAAATAAGACTCTCGCTCACTGCCTGCATCTAATAATAAAATATTTTATTGATCCCAAACTCAGAAGAAAGAAATGTGTCTCTAGGATTGACTGAGTGTTGTCAGTTTTCGCCTGGTTTACAAAGCTGTTCAAAAGCTGTGCACAAGCTTGGAAAATCAAACATGTGAATACTAGTGATGCCAAATTGTGAGAGACAGGAGCTAGTTAGAGTTATGGTGCCACGGTGGAGTAGGAGTTATAAGGTCCTACGTTAAACTTCTGGGTGGTATGTTTTTATTTGTGGAGTTTGTGTTGGTTTCTTCCAGTTGTTCCAGTTTCTCCTACTACTAAAAACATGTACAACAGGGATGGCTCGGAGGTCAAAACTCCCCAGAAAATTAGAGATTTAATGATGGTAGAATAAATAATAAACTTGAAATATCTACACACTGAAACCTTTAAAGGTGCATTGTGTAACTTTTCTGGTTGAGGGCCCATCAAATTAGCCAGGCTGGTGCCACCCAGTGCCTCTGCTCAATTTAATTTCTTTCCAGCAACTAGGTCAGGAATCGGAATACACTAGATGGGTCACAAAAACTCCGGAAGTGCGAGTTCGGGCATCAGCCAGTCAGTGAAGAGCCATATATTCTGTGTTGGCAACGATTCCCAAGACTGAGGATTTAAAGTTGGAACAAGGAGAATGTTTGGTGAATTTTATCAAGGTGAAAGACGTCATTGCCCTTCTTCCTACGGGATTTGGGAAAAGCTTAATATATCAGTTAGTCCCCTTAGCGGCTCATTACATACGTCACAACCAAATAGCAGTAATTGGTTAAATGTAAAAAGTACCCGCCTACCGTCAAGCGAACAAAATCTAACACTGAGAGGTCAGATGGTTTCTACAAAGTGAATCCAGCTGATGAATCAGGCAACTGTCAAATACTTTTCTCCATAAAAATGTTATTGCTTTGTCTGGAATGTTTCACAGTATGGCATTAAACCTTTCTATCTCCATGGAAACCAAATCAGACCAAGTCACAGGTCAGATCTGTGGAGAGTCGACCCCACTCACAGTCAGAATGCCTGTTTTTCTAGGTATTTTTGAGCTATAAACCCACCTATAATTAAATAAATGTAAGGTAGAGTGGTTTAATGTCATACTGTGGAACATTCCAGGCAGGGCAATGACATATCCATAGAAACAAGCAAGTGACGAACCACCAGCCAAAAAGTTACATAGTGTACCTTTAAATTAAGTTTTATGTACGTAGTGGACAGTACTGGACCTTTACTAGTTTATGGTCTTAAAGTCAAGTTTGTTGTAAAGACAGGGCTGATATTTTGACTTTGACTTTTAGTGTAGTAGCTATTGGCCTTTTGTTTTTATCTAAAAACTGGCATTTTTACTGTGAATGGGCTCGCTTCTTCATAGATCAGACATGTAACCTGGCCCTGTGGTGTCATCTGCTGTCTCCGAAGAGATAAATAAATGTAACGCCATACTGTGGAACATTCCAGGCAATATCTCCATGAACAGAAACTAGTGATGGACCCTACACCAGAAAAGTTTCAGAGCCAATATTTAGTTTTGGCCAACCTAATGCAAAATGAATACTCAGAAAGCTTTATTTTAACACTGTAATGGAAAGAGATAACTGCACCAAATGTGTCTACACTGCTCTCTCTATATATAAGTTTGTATAAAAAAGGGAATCCCTGGGTGTGTTTGTACAAAATTAACTTTAAATAAACTGGGGGAAATAATCAAAATCTTTATCTCTATCTCTGTCTAGACTATTGTAAGAACTGGGTTGAAAGGTCAGTCAATTCCAAGCTAATATGGAAGAAAGACATTTTTAGTCTTACAGAAACAATAACATTAATACAAGTTATAATAAACAGTGGTTTGATTTATTGTTTCTGTCTTCACCTTTGACCCTTTTCTGAGCCCCGTTGCCCTGGAAACACAGTATGTAATATGTGCATAAACCATCCATCTTTCTGACAGATGATTTTCCGGTACATTTGGAGCGTGAACTCGAGGAGGAGACGAATATTTTGAGTTACTTCCTGTCTATGTCTCTCTATTGTCTTTACTGCCATTTTAACCTTCACCAGATAAACTCAGAGCGGCCGGAAGGGCTTTGGATAGACAGAAAGAATAGAGGGAAGGCGTGCATCAAAGACCTGGACTCCAACCAAAACCGAGTCAAAAGGACCATAGAAAAATACTGGTACACAAACTGGGGCACGCGTAATACATTTTACAGTGATTTGACCCCCTGCCAATTTTGAGCTTATATAGTCATTCGGTGCTTTTCTATCTACTGTCACTACTTTCTCCCACCTACTTTTCCTATTGGTCAGTTTTCACCATGCTCTGAGTGAGTGACAGGTGGATTTAACCAATCACAGTGAAAAGTGAACTCTCAGAAGAAGTAGATGGTGTGGGCTACCTTATTTGCAAACTACGACGAGAGGAAGTAGGTGTTTAAACTGTTCAGAATTTTTGACATAGGACCTCATTTCCTAGTGAGCCAGAGTGTTGGAGACGTGTGGAGACACTTCTTAAAATATTCCATCCAGTCCTTGTATTTGCAGAGGTCGCTGGTGCTAGGCTAGTGCATGTCAATGGCCATAGTTAGCCTGACACTAAAAACAGTTTTACCCACTCCACAAAGCACCCAACAATAAAATGTTTACACATTATTAGATTATTATGCCAGACTCTTGATGTGAATGTCTGTGTTGATAGAATAATGTTTGAAATAAAACTAACCTTGCATCGCATGAATCATTGCATGTTGAGGGACTATTTTGTCATGTATCAGTCCAACCCTGCCAAGCTTTCTATCAGGAATAACAACTTGCTGCTGCTGCTCAGACATAAATCCTTCAAATGCAAGGTTGGTTTTACTTCTAAAATTATTCTATCGATACATATATTGACATTGATAGTCTGGCATAATAACAGATTTGCTTTGGGTGTTTTGTAGAGGGGGTAAGACTGTTTTTAGTAGCAGGATAACTATGGCCATTGACATGCGCTAGCCTAGCACCAGCGACCTCTGCAAATACAAGGACTGGATGGAATATTTTAAAAAGTGTCTCCACACGTCTCCAACACTCTGGCTCACTAGGAAATCAGGTCCTATGTCCAAAATTCCGAACTGTCCCGTACCACAAGTCTAAAATTGCTAGTATTCACATGCATGATACTCTTTGGTACATGCACAGTTTCAGAACAGCTTTTTCAGATTAAGAAGCTTGTTATAGCAACATCTGTTTGTTTGCAATTGCATATTCACTACTATCAATAATATCCTCTTAAAAACAGTGTGTGAATGTGAATTAGATTAAAACACAAATTGTAACCCATGCTAGGGCTGAGATTGTGGATAATTTCTACTGCTAAATCCAGTTGCAGTGACTAAAAACTCATACTCAAACTAATAATGGAAGAGGTAAAGACATGTAGAACTTATTGCTATCACCTAAAACAAGCAAGTACAGATATTATTAAAAAAAACACCATTAATCAGACTTAGATATTGAAAATACTGACCCTCAAAAATGACTGTTCCATCTGTCATCTATTAAACGATAAGTCGACATACTAATTACCATGACATGTCTAGCCCAAAACCCAAGCTTTAAGAAAATCCCCATGTTTGCAAAATGCTGCAGTGGATAAGATGTCATAGGAGTGGAGCAGATGACACTCACGAACAATGCACTGGTTTCCTCCGGTCAGAGTCTTCCATCCGGGACAGCAGAAGGCGTTGTTCCTCGTCCCACAAACATTTGGACTGTTGAAAGAAACAGGACATTAGAATCCACATGAGTCCACTTTCAGTTCGATTCACTGTAACCAATATAAACTGTTTATGCTTCATGAACGATAATCCTGATGAAATTTGTACTAAATGATTAGGTTAGAAACTAGGGCTGCAAGATTAATCGAACTGAAATCACATTTTGAATGGACGCAATTAGCAAATCGCAAAGACAGCAGTTTTGGAAGTACTTAAATTTCCTCCACAAGTAACAAAATATTCTGTCTTATTCTGCATAAAAACTGCTAACTCTGTAGTTTAGATCTGTACAAACATGTTCTGAAATATGATTCTTGTGTTACTTTATCAGATAATTAGGTTTTGGAATCACAGGGTCGAAACATGGCTCTGACTTCTTTTTTGCCCAAACTTAAAATGAAATTAACCTATTTCAATTCTGAAAACAGTGAATGTGTCCAATCTATTAAATAAACACCAACAAAACTGTAGGATTGTCACAACATAATTTTGTAGAAGATACTAAAAAAATGCTCTTGGCGACATATCGATACAGCAGCCCACAATATCGATACTATATCACCAAATTTAGTATCACAATATACATCTATATTTCAATATTTCAGCACAGCCTTAGTTCAAATTTCAGTCTTTTTGTCAGTTGTTCTTTATGTGTTTAAAATGCACTTTGAAAAACATAAATCGCTAATCTAATCGCAATGCTATTGGATATTTTTCCCAAATAATTCATCCCTATAAAATTTCTTTTCCAATAGGCTACTTTAGCATAGGCAGATGGATTTGTTTGTAATCATAGACCATATATATGAGTGGACATAGCTATCGGGCAAGCCACTGCGTTCCAAATAGGAAGTGCGACAGGAGTCTCTTCCGGCTCCTTCTGACTCTGGCTCCAATTGACTTACATTGGAATCTTGTTACCCCTTTTTCTCTAACTGCTGTTGTGAGCCTCGTCATTTTGGTCTTAATATGTTCGCATTAACCCGGTCTACATGATCCTGATTTATTTTTTTTTTCGCTGTTATGTCTGTCAAAATATACTCCTGTAACCGTTAGTATTGCGAGTCTCATTTGAGCGGCGTTGAACACTACTGGTAACGTCACACTCGCTTAGTTCATTTCTTTATACAGTCTATTGGTTTCATTGCTAAGTAAGCCCTTTTCCTGCTTTCGGGTGAGAAGGGCGGGCACATTTAACAACCTCACTCATGATTGGCGCTTGTGGTTGCTATGATACTCGCGGTCGGATTTCCAAATATGGAGTCTGGCTCCAAATTCGCTCCTGTAACCATGAGCATCGGGAGCTTCATTTGAGTGGAGCTGAACTGAACTGTGCTGTGGGTGACGTCACACTCGCTTAGTCCACTTCTTTATACGGTCTATGTTTGCTCGGCATTAATAGGCTCTGTGCATAATAGCACCTGGCAACCTCACTGTTAGCATCTCTGCTTCCTGTTAAATTTTATATCTACGAGGTTTGTGCCAAGCTGCGCTAAAATTAATAAATATTTAAAGATAAAACAGTGAGCACAGAGCTACAGTACACAATAAAACAAAGTGCGCACATAAAATGAATACTTCGGCGCAGGACACTTTAGAAAGAGAGATGTCTCAATGCTAACGCTAATGCTAACTTTGAGGCGTAAGAAATATTACAACAGTGCAACAAACTGAAGTAATCTACATATAAAAATATAGTTAATTTTAATTCATTTTAGTTTTAATAGGTTTTTATATTATAGTTTACTTTTTTCTCTCTTTTATGTTTTACAAGTTTGATAAAACAGCTGTTAGCTTTGAGACATGGTGAGCTAGTTAGCGTTCCTATTAGCTAAATGCAATTTGTCTACAATTATCAAGATTACAAGAAGAAGTGTGATTGCCTGTTAAATCGAATCAAGATTTAATCTACGCTGCACATTTTAAACACATTCAGGGGCATTATACTTCCATTCAAATTGTAATTTTGATTTGATTAAGATACATGTTTCTGTCCCATTGTTTACCATAACTGTCTGCGCAGCTGTAGTAGTCCCAACACTTGAAACAAATATTTATGGAAAACTTTATGACGTCCCATCACTATAGTTCATTATATTGAAACACATGTTAACGGTTTATGTCCAGAAATATCACAGTATAGCAGTGATACAAGTAGTTCTTTGTTGTAGATATAGTGCAAATCAAAACACAAGACTAATTATAATGGCTAAAAATATTATTTATGCACCAATCATACTTAATCGTGTATTTAACATTTAGATGCTGGTTTACATTGCAGTATTCACCATTCATTCACTCCCAAAAACTTGTGGTGGTTTGTTACTTATATGGTCACAGCTGCCCCTGGGGAGAATGACAAAAACATCAGAGGTAATTGTGGCTGAACGAGTTGGGGCAAAATATCTAATTGAGATTTTCCGGACAAATATTGTGATTATGATGAGATTTATGTTTTAATGATACAATTCTTTTCAAACTTAACATGTCCTGAATAATTGACAAAAACTGAAATATAAAACAATAACAATAATAATGCGTAACACTTGTATAGTTCTTTCAAGATACCCACAAAGACAAATAGAAGAACCAAAAATGTAAATGAAAGGTGGTTTGAAATAGATGGATTTTCAGGGCGTTCTCAAACATCGGGAGTGTGGATGAGTCCCTGATGTGTTGTGTCTGAATGTAAAAATCACATTTCAACACATCTTTCTTCAGATTTAAACTACAGGGTTTGCAGTTTTCATACAGAATACGACAGGATATTTTGTTGTTTGTGGTGAAAATGATGGCACTTTACAATTTGCGATTTGCGTTCAATTAAATTACTTAATTTGATTTTATTTATTTTTAATCTGGCAACTCAAGCCAACAGCATTTTTAACTACAACCAATCATAAAACAACACTCAAGTATAGTCAAAGTGTTTAAAGGGCTTTATGTTATAATGTTGTTTCCTCATTACACAAACAGAAAACACATTGTGATGCCATACAGGAAGTGCTCCACTGTGTTTTTAAACTCCACACACCTTCACTAGAATCATTCAGACAATTTCAGCCCTGGAATTTTCAATCTCTGCTGAAGAAAATCTCAACTGTAGCTGCTAACTTGAAAACTACCACTTCATGATATCACAAGGTCGAAGAGTGCATTTTGATTTTTGGAGATGTAGACATTCTAATAACAAAGTGTTACTAAAGCATGTGTGAATGAAACAAAACACAACTCCCGGTATGGTTTTGATGAGGTAAGGACATTTTAACATGGCTTAAATCTCACAAGAATAAATTGTGTGTAATATAGGACCTTTAAATCGTCTTGCCCTATGACACAACATAAAAGTATGAAATAAAGATCGCTCCAAGTTTCTTTCTGTGCACTCCATCTCCTCAGTTTGGATGTTGGAGTGTGCATGTTTGAGCCGCCTGTCTGGTTCTATGTCTCCCTGTGGGCTGGTCTGATACAGTGCTTAGCCTGTGTAATGCCCCTGGACCAGATGTTTCTCTAAATGAAGTTAAAGTCTGTCCAATAAACCGAGCGAGCAGTGAGCTGTGGATGGGACAGCCTCCATCAGCTGTGCCTCTCTGTCACCACCGGACGCAGATGCTCTCTTTCCTCCACTTCCTCTGCCCCTCACTTTCCTCTGCACTTCCTATGCACTTTTACTATATGTTTACTTTTGCTATAGTTGTATTTATGATTTTGGCAACTGTTTTCTTCACTAGTGTTGTCACGAAACTAAAATTTTAAACTCAAATTCAATACCAAGGAACAGACTCTTTTACTTTCTCTGCCCCTTGCTTTCCTCTGCACTTCTTTTGAATTATTCCAATGCACTTTTACTACATGTTTACTTTCTCTAGAGTTTCGTTTGTGATTTTTGCATATTTTTGTCCTGACTAGTCTTGTCGCAATACTAAAATTTCCGCTTGATTTCAATACTAAGGAATAGACTCTCTACTTTTTTTACCCCTCGCTTTCCTCTTCACTTCCTATGACTTATTCCACTGCAATTTACTACATGTTTACTTTCGCTAGTGTTATTTGTGATTTTTACAACAGTTTTTTCCTGCCTAACCACACTAACACTAATAGTCATCATACAAAAATTTCAATACTAAGGAATTGACACAATAATCAGCACTGATTTCGAAACCACTATGATAATTAAAAACATTCTGTTGTCTTTTTTTAGACAACGGAATGTGATTTTCAGCATTAAATTAGAGTATTTTCTTTTATATACATAATTTTTTTAATCTTGCTGACCTGAGCACAGCCATAGTGATGTACAAGGTCTATAATCATCTGCTTCTCCCTTTACAGGAGTTATTTGAGCAGAAATAGAGTCAGTATAAACCTTGGAGGAACAGGCATCTTTAAAAAAAATGAAGATAAGAACTAAGAAAAAAAGTGATTGTATTTCTGTTAGAGGAGTTAGTATGGAAATTACCAAAGTCATGATTTTAAAAAAAGAGTATAAAGCATTATGTTCTGAAAGATATAGAGCTCTGGAATGAATGAATTATGCATTTGATTTTGTTTGTTTTAATTTATATTTTGACTTATATATACAGTAAGTTGTAAGTGAAATTGTAAATGTAAACTTGCTGTTCATACACAGTTTTTTTTCTTGGAATTCTGTCATTTTTTTAATAGGGTTAGGCATTATAAGTACCTTTTACTTCAGCCTAAACACTTGCAGTCATGATCTATGGGATTGTAGTATGTGTTTTGTTTTGTTTTGGGGTTTTTTTTCTAGTGATGTAAAGTGACTGTATAAACTATAAACTACTAAAACATATTACCAAGTAGTCTTATATCTATTGCTATGTCTATATACTAGTCTATGTGGTCTTACACTTGTTCCAATACAGGTCTTTTCGGCTGTAATTAAGTTAAATGCCATACTATGGAACATTAAACTGGCAAACATCACACTGATATTATAGTGCTAATGAGGTTTACTCTGTGTTGGTCTGGAATAG